ATAATTTACTCCATACTTCTTCCTTTCTCTCTTCTCCCAATGCAACCTTCTTCTCACCCCTTAATTTTTTAATATCGTCCCATCAAAGTCAATTTATTCCCACAGCCTCTGTCTATGTATACTCCTTCTAACTACCCTAATAGATCTAACAGTTCTTCAGCGTTCCAAGTATCATCTTCCCCTGTAGGGATGGAAACACTTTACTTATATTGAATAATTTATGTTTTTGCTTTCCTGTTTCTTTTTATGACTTTCTTGAGTCTTATATTTTATTTTATTTTTTTAAAATCAAAGATAGTTTATTTTTTTCGATTTCTCAATTTTCAACGTCAACTGTACATTTGAATAAATATGGTTGAAGTGGTTACCTTTGCATATGGTGTCATCTCATCTCTTTTTTTCTTTAAATTTGATGTTGATTTTGCCTTTTGCTCTGTAAAGTCAATGATCAGACTGCATATACATAGTGTATTCTGAAATGATTTCCACAACAGTAGCTAGTTGTTCTTTAAACTACAATCAATTTATTTTTTTTCCTTGATTTATGGGCTTTGTTTTGTGATAGCTTCTTCCAGATCTCTTCTGAGAAATATAAAAAGTATTCAAAAATTTCCGAGCAGTCTAAAAGTTTTAATTCCTTTCTATTTTGCAGTTCCAAGCTATATTTTCTAAGATATCATTTTCCCCTATGTCTGTTTTCACACTGAAGTAACCAAAAATCACAGTACATGTTGGCTTGGTTTGAAGGATCCTCTGACGTTTTCATAGAACTCTTCAGTTTCATCAAACCTTGTAACAGATAGCAGTGTAGAAGCTACAGTTGTCATTGTGAGGATCTCATATGAAGAGCTGACTCTTCATAAGCACTGCAAGTCAAGAAGGGCAAATTTTCCTTGAAATGTTCTACTCTGATGTCATTGGTCTTTTTCAAAAACGAAGCCCAAACAACAGCAACAACAGCAACAACAACAACAACCAGGCATGGTACCTATCATATGGTAAACGCTTAACAATTGTTTATTAATTGGTCAATTAATGTTTGATTTTCCCTGGACTTCAACCCACTGTTATTTCAGAAATTTTTATGATGAGTAGAGTTATTTGTTTCTGTCTTCTTTTTCTTTATGCAGTTTTATTTATTGTTGATTTGCTATTTTTATTGTTTTGAGATTTTGGGGTTAAGGTAAATCATATTGAAACCAACTACTCCTCTATCTTGTTGATTGCATGATATCCCTATGAGTAAGGCCTTGAAAATAGACCATTTTAAAAATTATTTTATTATTGTTATTTTTATTATTATTTAATCAAAAGGAACATTTATACCTGGGAGATCCTGTTTTCTTGTGGCAAGCACACTACATTTGGGGTTAGATGACCTGAATTAAAAACCTTATCTATGACCTCTTAGCAGTGTGACCTTGGGTTAATCATTTACATTTTTCAGATCTTAGTTTCCTTCTCAATAAAATAAGGAAATTGGACTAGATGACTTCTAAGGTCTTTTCTTTGATTTACCTATTGTTTGCATAATACTGGGCATTATACTGATTTCAGAAATAAGGAATTGCTGTTGAATTCTGAATTTAGCTTCTCCTTTAACCCTGCTAAATCATGCTGCTTCTCTGAGTACAGAGTCAATCATTATTGGCAGGTGGAGAAATACCACGGTGTAGTGCATGCATTGTGTACTGAATTTGGGGTCAAGAAAACAGGTTCCAATTTTACCACTAATACTTATTACCTCTATTAACATGGTCACATCACTTAACAGCTCTAAGCCTCAAATTTCTTATTTGTAAAATGAGTTTTTAATGTTCCAGTAATGTTTTGAATGCCAATTATTAATCTATGATTATTAAACTATTTGAAGAAGTAAACTTGTTGATATTGATATTTTCATGACAAACAAAATCAGAAGACAAAAGGAAGTTGCAGTTAAATGGAAGGATGCAGAAGGGAATAAGCATAACTATAGTGTGTACTATCTGCCAGACACTATGCTAAATGATTTTAAAAATGCCATTTGATCCTCACAATATCCCTGTGAGGTAGGTGCTATTATCATCCATATTTTACAGGTTCAGAAATTGAGGCAGAAAGTAATTACATGACTTGCCCAGGGTTGCACATAAAGTAAATATATGAAGTCAGATTTGAACTTAATTTTTCCTGCCTTCATGCTCTGTACTTTATTCACTGTGTCACCAGCTGCCTCTAATAGTTCATAGGTTCTCTTTGGAAAGGCAAACATAAGATTTGGCAGAATTGATTTAACTGGATATCCAAATGCAATAAGAAGTTTCATTTCAAGTCATATTTTAAAATCGAATTTCCTATTAAATTCTGGTCTTTTCAACAGGAAAGTCCCCTGTTTCACTGCATGTACATTTTCCCCTCTGAGAGATGATGTTCAGGTTTACTGGGTAGTTAGTTGATTCTTGATTGTAATCTAAGCTCCTTTATCTTCAGGAATATCATATTCTAACCCCTCTGATATAATGTAGAACCTGCCAAACCTTGTGTAATCCTGACTGTGGCTTCTCAGTATTTGAATTGTTTCTTTTGGGCTACTTGCAGTATTTTCTCGTTGACCTCAGAATTCTGCAATTTGGTTCTAATATTTTTGGGAGTTTTCATTTTGGGATCTTTCTGGATGTGATCAGTGGATTCTTTCAATGTCTATTTCATTCCCTGGTTATAGGATATCAGGGCAGTTTTCCTTGATACTTTCTTAAAAGATGGTGTCCAGACTCTCTTTTTAATCATGACTTTCAGGTAGTTAGTCCAATAATTCTGAAGTTATCTTTCCTGTATCTGTTTTCCAGGTTAGTAGTTTTTCTAATGAGAGAGAGAGAGAGATAGAGAGAGAGAGACAGAGGGAGAGAGTGTGCGTTGAGAGAAAAATGTGTGTGTGTGTGTGTGTGTATGTATACATGTGTTGGGGTCAGGGAAAGTGGGAACTAAAGCCTCATAGGTCCCGAGGGCCCTGAAATGGGGTCTGACTGCATCATAATCTGAACTGTAGCTCTATCTTCAGTCAGGAAGACCTGAGTTCAGATCCTGACTCTGATACTTACAAGTTGAGTGACCCTGGGGTAAGTCCCTTAACCTCTCTCCACCATTTTGGTGCCAGGCTGGGTTAATTAAACTTGAGTCTGAGAAGGTTTCCCTGAGGCTCTCCTGTCTCCATTTTAGAGGAAACAAACTTGTTAGGACACACACCATCCAAGGGATGTCATTCATTATGGTATGCCATAATGGGATGGTATTTGATTCCAAAGAAAGAAGCAGGCTACACCAGCATGGATTATATAAATTGATGAGCCTTTCTGGAGCTAATTGTGTTGTGTAAGGGAGTTTGCTCATGAGATCAGCCCTATGGTGGCAACAAGACAGAGTGTTGGATGCCCACACCACCATTGGGCCAAGCCAGGTGTCATGCAGAATGAGAACAAAGAAGGTGAAAAGCCAGGGATGACCTCTGGTCAAGTACAAGTTTTCCTATGGGATACTTGAAGCTTCTCTTGCTGTTTACATTACAGGTAGTTTACATTCTCTGTGGGGTGATAGGTCCTGCTCCCAGACCCTTGCACTCACCATACATAAAGCTACTTGGGGAGTTCCTAACTCAGGTAGGACAATTAGAGTTTTTCCTCAGGGTAGGTGGTGAATTTAGAAGGGACTGAGCACTTGCAGAACTTCCATGTACCAAGAAGGAGCTCTTTTCTTATCCTTCCCTGGCCTCAAGGCAACCTCCTGGACAGCGGCTTGGCAACAGCCTTCTGGGATCTCTGAATCCCTCCATCTAGGTGGTTCAGCGGTTAGAGCACTGGGCCTGGAGTTATTCTCTATATACTTTTATTCTTTATATACTTTTCTGTATTTTCTGTGTCATTAGAACATAAGCTTCTAGTGGTTTGGAACTATGTCCTTAATAGTATTTGCATCTCCAGAACCTAGCACAGTGCCTGTTATGCAGGAGGTACTTAAGAAATGCTTGTTGATTGCTTAATTAGGCCACGTGTCCTTCTCTGTGGCCAGCAAGTGGCAGGAGCTTCATCTATAGCTATTGAATGAATAAATTAATTAGTTGAAGCTCTAAGCTAGAGTAAATATTAGTGATTATAATTACATCTCTTACAGATGTCTCTCATTTATAATTTTCATCACTTATCACATTATTTTAATGATCATATCTAATTCATGTATTCCTTTATATTTTAATTTCAAACATAGAGTGAGGCATAGATCTATCAAATTCCTACCAAACTGCTATGCTACCTGTTCTTTTTTTTTAATCAACTACAGGCAGTTCTCATTTTGGATAAGTGGACCATTGGGCAAACCTCTAAGTAGAACGATTTTGAAGTAATGTGAATTTGCCCATGGACCTGGTTACAAGGGAGGGAGGGAGGCAGGAAGGCAGGAAGAGAGTCATGTGCCTGTGAATGGAAGGGGTCCAGAGACAGTTCAGGTACATAGGGCAGCCAGGGACAGAGAAGCGAGAGGAGGATGATTATCAGGTGGGTGTTGGGGCCAGCCATGTGATGGCCTGGCCAGAATCGAGAGGAAGAACAGGCAGGGGACAGATACTTGGGGGCCGGACACGGGCATAGACAGGAGAAAGAGTCAGCACATGGACTGAAGAAAGACATATGGTACCCAAGTATGAATGGACAGAAGGTAGATGGACGGATGCCAGACACACAGATAAATGGACAGAGCAGCCAAAAGTCTCTTCTCTCAGTGCTGGAGGTCTCAAGCTACGGCCTGATGCTGAAGCTTCAGTGGTGGAAGGAATCACTCTGCACATCCAAAACCCCTTTCTTACCTCCTCCTAAGCTCCCCATTAATACCCCTTAGATTGTTGATGTCATTTAAAATTTTTCATTGATGTTTCCTGTTTCTTACCTCATGGTATCCCATGTACCGCCCCCTTTCGCTCTCCTCCTCTTTGAGATCCATGCCATGTGACAAATGGTATTTTTTTGTTTTAGGAGGGAAAAACAGTCAACACGACTGTATAGTACACAGAAGAAAAGATATTTATGGCAGGAGACACTCTTTCTGGGGACATTCCAGTTACTACAGGCTTACTCTCTGAGGAAGCACATCTAACCTTAGAACACTCAGTGGACAAGACATTTGGGGCTGAAGACACACTCTCTGAGAACATTCTACTTACTACAGGCTTACTCTTTGTGTAAACACATCTACTCTCAGGACACTCAGAGGAAAAGATACTTGTGGCAGGAAATACTCTTTCTGGGAACATTCCAGTTACTGCAGGCTTGCTCTCGGTGGAAGCACATCTAGCCTCAGGACACTCAATGGATAAGATACTTATGGGTGGAGACACAAGCTCTGAGAACACTCAGAGGAAAAGATACTTGTGGCAGGAGAGACTTTCTCTGGGAACATTCCAGTTACTACAGGCTTACTCTCTGAGGAGGCACATCTAACCTTAGAATACTCAGCAGACAAGACATTTTGGGCTGAAGACACACTCTCTGAGAACATTCTACTTACTACAGGCTTACTCTTTGTGGAAACACGTCTACTCTCAGGACACTCAGAGGAAAAGATACTTGTGGCAGGAGACACTTTCTCTGGGAACATTCCAGTTACTACAGGCTTGCTCTCTGTGGAAGCACATCTAGCCTCAGAACACTCAGCAGACAAAACATTCAGGACTGATGATAAACACTCTGATAACATTCTGCTTACTACAGGCTTGCTCCCTGATGAAAAGACCAGAGCTGAAGAGAAATTATTATGTTCAAATATAAGACTCAAAAGAAGCAGCAAAAGGTAAATATGAAAAAAATCACAAGCGAGTCAATAAGGTTCACTTGTGTACTTTTCTATAAGGGAAGATGATATGCGTGTCTTCTAAGAATTTTCTCATTATTCAAGTAGGTAGAAAGATTCTTCCTAGAAAGAGGGTATGGGAGTGAGCCAATTAGGTGGGGATGATGTAAAACAAATGGAGAGGGGAGAAATATGGATGCCCTGGGAGAAGGTAGAAGAGAGAGAAAGAATGGGGGAAATGATCTCACATAAAATAGGCATGCAAGGGAGAGCTTTTACTCTGTAGCAAAAAATGCCAGGGGGTGGGGTCTGGTGGGCAGCCAAAGCTTGGCCCTCACTCCCATCTAAATTAGTTCAGAAAAGGAAAATATATATTTACTCAGTTGGTCATAAAAATCTATCTTACTGTACAGGTAAGTAGGAGAAGGGGGGAAGAGAAAGAAAAAGTCATGACAAAAGGGTGGACAGATAAAGAAGGCAGTGTCCATATGCAAAACAGATATTAGAGGAAGGACAGAATAAAAAGAGAGAGAGAAGGAGAAGCAAAAGAAAATAGGATGGAGGGAAATGCATAGTTATTAATCGTAGCTGTGTGAATGGGATGAACTCACTCATAAAATGGAAGCAGGTAGCAAAATGGATTAGAAAGAAGAGAATCTTAGAAAACTTAGATGTGAAAATCATCTGGAGACAACTGAATGGGAATAGAAAGGAGTGCAGACAGATGTTGCTTTCTGTAAATTCACATTATGCAAATTGGACTTTATGTAAGGAATTCTATAAGAAATCTGCATTCGCAGAAAACCACCCATGTCATCTTTACCATAGAGTAATGGGATCTCTTTCTGCTCCTGTCCCTCGGCTTGGCGCTCTGTCACCTCCTACCCCCAACCTCCCAAAAAGCCTTTAAAAAGTCCTCCAAATGAAAGCAGAAGAACACCTGCAGAGAGCCAGCCATCACCACTGCTGGATCAGGGCTTGGCTTGAGACCTCCAGTGCTGAGAGAGGAGACCTTGGTTTCAGTCTGCTCACCCACCCAAGAGTTTGGTTCCTGCTTTTTGGTATTTTGTCCCTCCGTGTTGGGGTGCCAAGTGTCTGGCCTCTCCTGAATGTTTCCCTGTCCTGCTGCCAAGTGTCTGCCTGCCAGCATGTTCTTCCTTTCAGTTCCAGCCAGGCCCTCAAGTGGCTGGCCCCACCAGCCATGTGTTCCTCCTCCTGCACTTGCTTCTCTGTGCCCAGCACCTCCCTGTCCATGTCCTTGAACCACATGCCAGCCCCTCCTCCGTAAGAGCACAGCTCCTTCCTGCCTCCCCCCTATCCTTTTCCACATTGATGGGCAAATTCATATTAGGTAAAGGGTCTGCAGAATGATCCACTTATTAACTTAGTATTATATTTTCCCCAATTACATGTAAAAACAGTTTTAACATTTGTTTTTAAATTTTTGAGTTCTGTATATTTTAGAAATGAGGACTTTATCAGAAACACTGGCTGCAAAAATTGTTTCCCAGCTTTCTGCTTTCTTTTTAATCTTGCTTGCATGGGTTTTGTTTCTGCAAAACCTTTTTAATTTGAGATAAACAAAATTATCCATTTTCACTTACTAATGCATGCTCTCTGTCTCTCTCTCTCGCCCTCCCTCCCTCCCTCTCTCTCT